CACATCTCCACTCTTAGTTAAAACAAAATCCCATTTAAAAGGCATAAAATGGTCCCAATATCCCAATATAAACAAAGTAAAAGAAAGATGTACCATAACTAAAAGAGACCATTTCTTCTTTACAAAAGACAAGCTCCATTACACAACATTTTACCCTAAATAACAACTTATCCCATTCTGATAAACATTCCATATCTTAACTCTAAACTATAAGCAAATCCACAAAAGACTGAAATTAGCATAACAGAGAGAGATAGTTTCTCCTTTAAAGAAAATGATCAAACTTCCTTACTTTAAGTAAAAAGACAATTAAATACAAAGCCAATTTGAGTACTATGAAATTAAGATACATAAAATAAAAATAAAGGAAAGAAGTTGAACACCTTATTAACAAATCCAGTGTACCGCATTTTTTTCCAGTTAAGATATCTGCAAATCCAAAAAGAACCAGCCAGAATAATAACATGTTCCATTTTATCCCTGGTTGAATAAACCAATTTTATATTCCCCTTTTCTTCTATATAGAACAATCTTTCTCTATAATCCATTTAGAGCTGACCTTTGTTGGACCTTTCTTCAGCACTTTAAACAATCTCTCTTGTGACTCCAACAAAAAGAAGTTTCTGTCCACTCCTTCTATTTTTTCAGAGTCTTCTTCAAAAAGAAATTATTCCAATTGCTGTCTAGGATTGTCATTTTTATTTCCTTATTAATTTTCAAATTCTCATCCAATTTTTTCTTTATGTCTAGTAAAAATTCTTGTTCAGATTCTCATCCATGTTTTAATTGGGTAAATTTTGCTACATATCTTGTTCTATAACGTCTTCTGAGAACAAACTGTTCTCAGAAAAACACAAAATAGGTGATGTAATTGATTCAATATCCCGATGCAGTTCCTCAAAGATATCTCTAAACGCCATTTTAAATTACTTGTCTTATTATGTCTTCAGTCTCAAAAACAATTTCCCACAAACATGCAACTGTTCTTTAAGAGTAATTTCAGAATCTTAATATTCAAAGTCCAATTTCCAACACTTTCTGAGCCCTTAATCCGTTTAAAAACTTAGCTAAAACCTTGTCTTGCTTTTTGCTGTTTACTTTAAGCTTGGGCAATCTCGTCCTCTCTCTCTTTTGTCCAGAGAGGATCATAGGAGCCAATATGTTAATTGGCTCCTTAGTAAAGTCTACAGACGTTGGCTCCGCTTTACAGGGAGCTGTCTTCAGTCCACCATCTTCCCTAGGAAGTGAAGTTTACTTATTTTTGCATTCTCATGCCAATATAAAATCAAAATTCAGATATCCTTTGAAATTCATGCTTCTCTAAATTAGGGAATATCTGTGCAAAATGCACATATTCATGAAAATAAAGTATAAATATGCATTCTACTAAGAACAATTGTTGTTAAAACAGCGTATCTTAATGTACAATTGAAAATGTACGTACAGATGTTTGAAAAATATGCACTGCAGTACATATGCATTTTAGCACAAACTTTGAAAAATACTTACATTCAGCAAATTTGACATATTTACAAAAAAGTGAATTTAGGAAAAACTGAAACTAAACAGATTTGGGAGTGCCTAGTTTTCACAATAAGTCTTTCTTATGTCTGAAATGTAGCTGAATAGCACATACTGCTATTTTTTATTGTAAAGGATGTTCAGCCCCTCAGCTAGTTAATTTAAAGCAAAATAGTATACAGATTTCCTAAATACTTTTTACTGGAAAGAAAGATGCTGCAGGTAAACATATTGTTAGGCTTACCAGGTAGACCAGACAGGAAACAATCAGATGAGCTAATTCTATTTTATTGTAAGGCTCATTTCATTAACTATTAATTATTTTGCAAGTCTGAAAGTGCAAATCTCCTACCATCTCCTTTACAGCCCAAGAAACTGGTGGCGGGGGGGGGGGGGGGGGGGGGGGGGTTCCCTTCTGAGCCACTATCCAGCTGCAGGCTGGGCTCTCTCTTATTTGACCATTCCCTAGGCAGCATCTCTTTGCCCCATCTCCCAAGGTCTTTCCCACATACCATTACACACATTGACATCTGTCTTTTTGTTAAATAAGAAATAAGGGCTCCCACACAGTATTAAGCCATAATGGGCTTGTTTTGGTTTTTAGTTTAGCTTGTTGTGAACATAACTATTGTGCCATGTAAATTATGATTTAACCTTAGAATGAATCTTACCAACTGATGTATTCAGTGAATTATGGTTAAACAAATCACAGTTTAGCACAATAAATGAATGCAGTTGTGAAGAAAATGAAGAAATGTTGGTCTGATTTGCAGAGCATGCTACATCAATGATCTTCCATTTGTAACCTCCCATCTTTTCCCAGTGCTTCTGCTATCTTTTTTATTTCCGCATAAACCTATTTTTGATAGAAAAAGTTGGAATAGTATTTTTGGACTGGCAACTTGCCTATCTTGAAGTAAAATTAAGGACTGTACTGTTTTTGAGTAGGTGCTCAGCCCATCACCTTTTTTTTTTAGGCCAATAAGTCGAAGAGAAGGGCAACAGGTTTGTGGTTTTTGGTTAAACCATCAGGGTTTGTCAGTCTACTGCAGCGTATTTCAAATTTGGCAACTTTGAGATGTGTGGATTTCAACTGCTAGAATGCCCCAGCCAGCTTTGAGGAACTGGGATAGAATGAGGATATCTGGAGCTGGTTGTGGGGCATCCCAAGGGGATGACTGAGGCAACAGGTTTTAGTTTTTTGGTTTTATGGTTTATGATTTTATAGTTATTGGTTTTATTGTTGCCCAGAGTTGTGTTTAAAATGGGCAGCCATACAAATCTTTTAAATAAAACTAACTAACTAACTAAAACTTTCCCAGCCCAGAATTCCACAGCCAACTTGAGGAACTTTAAGACGTGTGGACTTCACCTCCCGGAATTCCCTACACATCTTAAAGTTGCCAAGGTTGAACAACAAGGTTGAAAAACACTGGTCTACTGCAACTCGTTCTGAGCTGTACCAGAAGACCTCAACCTACTTTTTCCATCCCTGTTCTAAGAAAATATTTCCATGTACAGTGAAGGATTTTTTTGTTTTGGTTTGGTTTTACGCACTCTTTGTTTATTCCAGTTTTCTAATCTTCTAGGAGTTTATTGCCTTTGGAATCAGCAATATTTTTTCAGGAGCCTTTTCCTGTTTTGCTGCTACTACCGCACTGTCTCGCACCGCGGTCCAAGAAAGTACAGGTGGAAAAACTCAGGTATTTCACTGGGCTCAGTGGGAGGCCATTTCTATCATCCTTATTACTGATCTGGTGGAACAATTTTTGAACAAGTCATCTTCTGATTGATCCTAGTGACATAGTATTTTAACATATCGTAGAGGAGGTGAAGGCCTTCCTAGAGAGACAATTTTGGAATAATTGATATATTTCATTCTAATGTAGTAAAGTGAGGGTATACAGTACTGTTTTTCAGACGTGGCAACTTTAAGACTTGTGGGCTTCAACTCCCAGAATTCCCCAACCACAATATTAGCCTCAGAAAAATGCACTTCGTCTTTTAACAGCTTGCTAGGAGCAACAAATTAGCTAGTCCAGGACAAGAACCAAACTTATTTTAGTTTAGATTAGTTAAATGCAATTAATATGACTGTCCTTCCTTGTTTTCCCTTTCTGATTTTTCCTTTGCAGCCTCCTGCATTTCCTCTGAATCTGCTTCCTGCAAATTCTGGAGCAGATTGGAGAATATGCAGAGAGGCAAATTCTGTCTTATCCAGGAGTTTCCATTTTGCTGGTGGAAAGCCTCTGCAATTTTTATACACAATTCCTAAACTTACATTGGAGACAATAAATGAATTGAATTTTCTTCTGTGCAAAGATGCATAAGTTAACAGTTCATCCTGTTTGGTCTCTTTGCTTTACAGTCTACTTATCATGACCAGGACTCATATTTTTCAATTCTACAGTCCTTAAGCCAGTAAATGCTGGCAGAATTTGCAATTTTAAACACTGTTGGGATGCTGTGTGAAAATACAATAAGCAATGAGATAAATTATTAATTTGCAGCAAGAAGGTGGCTGTAATAGGCTGAGGACGGGGTGCTCATGGGGGTAAAAAAAAGATGGTGGCTGTGACTGCATATAAATGGAAGCACAGCTCTAACTGCATGATCATGGCTGCTATTTTGACTTCTTTGATCCCCAACAAGTTAAACTCCTAGGAAATATTGAATTCAGCATAGGTAGTATTTGAATGGATGAAAACTCAAGTTATGTAACTCTCTTAGGGCAAATTGTGGGTCAGTAATTACTTGTAGTTTTGTACTCATGTTGGATACACAGATGCTGCATTAATCATGCGTGTTTCACCAAAGACTTGAGTGTAGACAGTTGAGTAAAAAAAATTCAGGGCCTTTCAAATCATTAGGTCACAGGGACCACACTGAATATGGACCTTGGCTTCTGAATGAATGATCAGAGCATGACTTTCGTATTTAATTGTGACTAGTTAGTAGTTAGGGAAAAAATCATGGCAGTTAGGAAGAATATTGTTAGAGATTTGAACTCTGGGACCTTATACAGTAATGAAGGGATTGTCAACCCTTTGAGGCAGGCCAGATCAAAAGACTTTATTATAGTAGGGTACAATAACGGAATCTTGAAAGCCTGTCCAAGGTTCTCTCCTGGATGAACAAAATGAAGGTGGGATTATTTTGTGTTTCTCATACGTGCTGCGCCCTCTAGACCAGTGTTTCTCAACTTTGGCAACTTGAAGACATGTGAACTTCAACTCCCAGAATTCCCCCCCCCCCCAATCCCGGCGGGGGGAATTGGGGGGTTGAAGTACACAAACTCCCAAGTTGTCCAAATTCGAAAAAACTGGACCGGGG